CCGAGGAGCCACTATGAGTCGGGGCCAACTCGACGGCACACAACAACAACAACAACAGGGCGAAACAATCAATCAGGTGATGTAGTGAGTAAGACATTTGGCTGCTAACCAGGTCAGCTGTTCAATCCCACCGGCTTCTCTGTGGGAGGAAGATGAGGAATTCTACTTTTGTAAAGATTTATAGCCTTGAAAACCGAATGGGGGTCACTATGAGTTGGAATCAACTTGAAGGCAGTGGGTTTGATTTTTTTTTTTTTAAGTGCTGTAGGAGACCTTCTAACTCCTTTGACTTTAAAGAACAAGACACTTCAAGAATAACTTTCAAGAGAGGGAAAAAACTTAAGTGATTAGCCTATTCAAAGCCTTTGTTCAATACTACACTCATTTCCCCCCCAACATTTTATTGTAAAAAATTTCAAACATACAGCAAAGTTGAAAGAATTTGAGAGTAAATACTGTTTTCCCACCCCTTAGAGTTTACTCTTAACAATTTATTATAATTGCTTTATGACATATCTCTCCATCCTTCTGCCCATACATCCATCCATTTTATTTTCCCGATGCATTTCAAATTACAGACATCAGTACACTTCCACTAAATACTTTAGCATTTATATCATTCGTTAGTGGTCAATGTATTTTTATGTTTTTTTTCCTTTTGAAGCAAATTTATATATAATGAAATGCACAAATGTTAAATGTACTTTACTTTTTTCCCAAATTTTATTCATTTTGTTGTTGAGAATATATACAGAAAAACATATACCAATTCAACAATTTCTACATATACAATTTAGTGATATTGATTACATTCTTAGTTGGGCAACCATTCTCACCTCCTTTTCTGAACTATTTTTCTGTCATTAATGTAAACTCACTGGCCCCTAAGATTACTATCTAATCTTTTAAGTTGCTGTGGTCAATTTGACTGCATATAGATAGTTCTTAAAAGAGCACTATGCTCACGGCAGACCTTTTTTTCACTAGCTAAGTTAAACTGTTACTCAGTTTTTTTTTTTTTTTTTAATTTTACTGTGCTTTGGGTGAAAATTTACAAAGCAAATTTGTTTTACATTCAATAGTTCAGTTGATTTCACATGTTATTCAGTTTTAAGATGACTTGGAGGATGTGTAGGGGTCTGTGGTAGTTAAGTCTGTGTGTCAGCTTGGCTGGGTCTGGTTGAGTGGTTGGGCAGCTGGATGTAGTATTCCCCATGATGAGACTGGTAATCAACTCCATGGTGGAATCTACTGTGAGCAGCTGAGTAGCT